TGAACATGTTTGGTCCCTTCGTCAAAGATAAGGTGGCAGAGTGTGTTTGAACTTGCGTTAGCATCTTCTGATCTTTTTCACTGATCTTCATGTCTGTTTTTTGCCAATACCATACTGTTTTTATCACAGGAGCTCTGTAGTATAATTCCAACTCCAGGATCGTGATGCCCCGACTTGTCTTTGGTGCCCACACTTGCTCTTGCTATTCTAGGGCTCTTCTGTTTCCAGATGAATTTTCTGAATGTTTTCTCTTTTTATGTGAGGTATACTGATGGTATTTTGATTGGGGTTGCACTAAATCTGTATAATTTTTGGAAGCATGGCCATTTTCACTACCTTGGTTTTTCCTACCCATGACCAAGGAATAACTTCCTATTTTCTGGTATTTCCTCTTTGATCTTCTTTTTCAGAGTACTATAATTTTCAACGTATAGATCTTTAACTTACTTGTTAGATTGATTCCTAAGTATTTCATTTTGGGGACTGCAAAGAGTGCGGTTTCCCTATTTCTCCCTCAGTGAATTTGCTGTGTGTACAGTCATACTGTTGATTTTTAAATGTTCACTTTGCACCCACCTACGCTACTGAATTTGGCTAAATCTCTAAGTCTTTTGATAGAGTTTTTGAGGTCTTCTAGTGAAGTATCACATCATCTGCGTATAATGATAGTTTATCTTCCTCCTTTCATTCTATATTTCTTTTATTCCTTTCTCTTGTCCAATTGCTCTGGCTAATGTTCCCAGAACTCTACTGAAGAGGAGTGGTGACAGTGGACAGCCTTGCTTGCTCCTGATTTTAGAGTGAACACTTTCAGTTTTTGATCATTCAGTATGACGCTGGCAGTTGGTTGTCATAGATGGCTTTTCTCAGATTGAGATAAAGACCATCTACCCCAATGTTCTGTAGTTTTTATCACGAATGGATGCTGCACTTTGTCAAATGCTTTTTCTGCATCTGAGATGACCCTGTGATTTTTGTCTTTAGTTCTGTTGATATAGTGTATTACATTTATTGATTTGCATACATTGAATCATCCCTACATCCCTGGGATGAATCCTACCTGGTCATGGTGTCCAGCCTTCTTGATGATTTGCTACTTTCTGTTTGCCAGAATCTTACTGAGGATTTTTCATTTATGTTCATTAGGGAGATTGGCCTGTATTTTTCTTTTTTGGTTGGATCGTTCTCTGGTTTGGGGTCAAGTTAATGCCTGCTTTCAGGGATGAATTTGGAAGTATTGCCTCTCTTTCAATTCCTCTAGAGAGTTTCAGCACTAATAGCATTACGTACTAATAAAAATCCGAAACAATAAATTTTGAAAAAGAATATGGCATTTAATTTATGAATTGGTGAAAACTTGACAGTACAATTCACAGACAACATCCAGCGTCACTTCAGGAACAAGAATCACTTGCAGTGTGGCTCATTTTCCGGTCACTTGTAAACAGAGGGGTGAAGATGACCTAGGAGGCCCCCAGCTGTCCGTGTCACAGGACGACGAGACAAAATGCATCGTGACCGCTGCCAGCTCCTCCTGCACCATGTCAAGCAGCTGGGAGCAGAGCACCCTCCGGGGGCTGGAAATACGGTGCTGGCCCAATGGCCTGAGGCAATGGAGCCCCTGTCAGGAAGGCGTCCTAACAGAGAGCACTGCTTCCATCACACTCACGTGTGCACACACACACACACACGTCCTTTCCCCAATCCTTTAGTGACCCATCCCTTTCCTGTGGTGTTCCAGATACTACCGAGTCCTCTGACAAGGCCCCCTCCTCAGTTTACAGGACTAGATGTGCAAAAGGGCCAAGTGTCTGCCTGAAAGAAACCGCGGGTGCGGCCGTGGAGGTGGAGGCCTGGGGTCCTGGGAGGAGGAGGACCCACTGCAGTGCGAGGATTTCGGCCCATTTTCCCTCTGCGTTCTCTTTTCCCCCATAAAACTTATCATGCTCCCGGCCCCTTAAGGTAGAAACTTGGGGCAAAAAAGAAGCCCCCCCCCATCTGCTTCGCAGCCAGCTCTGAGTGAACCCCTTTCCTGCACTAAGCCTGAGAGTCTTCAGTCCCACAGTGAGCAGGAAGAACCTTAAGTTTTGGTAACATATGCGACACGTTTTTGCAGTTTTACTTACTGACTTTGTCAGGGTCTCAGTTCCCCAGGTGGGACCTGAGCTTGCCATCCCCTGGCCTGCCCGCCCTGTGCGCGGGGACCACAGCCATGTGCCACCGCACCCGGCCGGCCAAGCGCATCTGTGAAGTCTCTGCATCGCCTCGCGCTGTTCTTGGCTCTGCTCATTCTCTCCACAAGGGGGCCTGCGAGGAGCTCACCTAGACTCCAGAAGCTGACGGCCTGGCTGGGCTTCACATTCCTGATAGAGTCCACCTAGCCTCAGCTATGCTGGGCTATCACCTGGGCTTACAGCATCTTTGTGTTGTTTTTAAGCCTTCTAAGTTTTAATCACTCAGATAAGCACTTGTCTTTTATTTTTTTCATTTTCCTTGCATTTTTATGAACCAAGAAAGGCAAAATGCAATCGAACCCGTGCACAACCTTTACCCAGGGTTGGCAGCGCTAGGACCTTGAAGCTGTGGCCACCAATCAACACAGCTGCTTTCTGAGATGCCCAGGCAAGTGTCGTGGGGGTGAGAGTGACGGCTGTGTCCCCACACTCAGAGTCACCCCGCTACACCCGTCCCAGCTGCACCCTGGGGAGCTCCCTGGCTGCTGCAGCTCACTGTCCTCCACCTCCCAGAGATGCCCCGAGGGGCGCTGCTGCCCCAAGGGGCACTCGCTGCCCTTGGGTCCCCACAGCCTGCTCAGTGCGGGTCCTCCCTGTGGCTGTCACCAAGGGGCACCTCTGCTCTAGCCCTCCTGGTCCAGCCTTTACACCTGTGGTGGGGCCCTGTCCAGCTCTCAGCTCTCGAGCTGTTTCGGGGGACCGAGAGGGCCAAGAGCTGGGCAGAGGCCCCCCCCCCCTCGCCTTTGTCCACATCTTGTCAACCTGGGAGGGCAGACGTGGAGCAGGACGCACTCAGGCCCAGCCCAGCCCCGGATGCAGCTCTGGACCAACAGAGGGGAAAACTGAGACCTCAGGCCATCCGCTTTGTCTGGGTCTCGTCTGCTGCGGGCCTTGGCCTTCAGTCCCTGAGCTCTCGCAGCCCAGGCCCAGCGTCCCCTGTGCAGATCGCCAGGCCCTGCCCAGCGTTCTCAGCCCACTGCTTCCGGGTGGGAATCCCGCACTCAGGCTCCTGCCCACTTCTCTGTCGTGCCCACCCTCACCCGCAGGAGTATCCACGGCCCCACCTCCCACCCCAACCCTCCTCTCTTCCCCCATCCTGACTCAGTCCTCAGGCGCAAACCCAAAGCCCAGCGCAGGGAGAGGCCAGGCCTGCACCTGACCTGCTGGCTTGTCCAGGACCCGCCCGCCCCAGCTGCACCACCGGCACACACCCAGCCCGGTGGGCAGCTCTGGGGGAGAGGCCGGGCGCCAGCTCTCCAGTCTGGGGAGGGCCTGCCCAGTGTCCTCTCGGACCTCGCTCCCCCTCCAGCCTGTGTGAGCTCACCGTCATTCTTCTCAGTGAAGGTGTTTGCTTCAGGATTTGTCACAGGCGGTCCCAATCTCTTAATGCTGGCACACAGGAACTTCATTTCCAACGTGAATTCTGGACACAGACTTTCAAACCAGAGCGCCCCCTTTTCAGTCCAGAGGGCGGGTTTCCCGGCCACACAGTAATTCCAAGTTTAACTTCCTACGGCAGCGCCCTCCTGACCTGCGCTTCCTACCTTCCGCAGACGCCCCTGCCGAGGCCCCAGGCTCCCCCGCCCTGCCTTCTGGGTTCTGGGTGTTGGTCATAGCCATCCTATGGGCTGTACTAACATGGGGACCTCTGTCCAGCACCCCTAACAGCGCATAGGCTGTCACTGTGGGTTTGCTAATAGGACCTTAGCAGGCGTGACTGCCCTCCCCTCTGCAGTATGAGGGGACCTGTAAGACTGGCCGGAAAGGACAACAGTGACTTAAGTGGAGCCAACAAGGGGGGCTCCTGCACTGGCCAGCAACTGGCCCGCCCTGCTGTGAGAACCCAGCCTAGCACCCTGGCGGCAGACAAGAGTTTTGGGCCTGGGCTCTGCAGCTGATCCGTCACGAGGACTCGGAAACTGACTGACCAAACCTACCTTGCAAGCGTAACCGTGAAATAAAATGTTACGTAAGTAGCCCAAGTGTGTACACAAGAGCTATGGCCTTCAACAGAGATCCACCTCCAAAACCTGCTGGCCGAGCCAGCTCACTCTGGGAGCCTTTAGGAAACAGGAACTTCTGCTGGTACTCAGCCCCAGGGAGTCCAAGAGCACCAGGCCAGGAGCCTCCTGTGGGCTGCAGAGCGCTGGGTTCACCCTTGGACCGGGCAGCACTGGGCCCAGATGCACGCAAGCCGGGGATCACGGCTCCAGGCCGAGCTTCTGCACATAAAATCTATAGTGTTCACCTCGGCAAATATTTAAAATGGTATCAAAACGTTTCTTTTTATCTTAACCCAGTTTTTCCAGACATTTAAAACAATACTCAGTTCTTTGTCATATTTACAGAGGTAAAGCGTGTTCTTTAAAAACATATAAATATACATACATACATATATGCATTCCAAAACCATGTTCCATTCTGAATGTCACAAATAATATATGAAATGGTAAGAATTCATGCCACAAATCCCCTTTTCTTCTTTTTTCTTTTCTCTTTTTTTTGTACCGAGGATTGAACTCACAGCCTCATGCTTGCCAGGCAGGTGCTTACACCGCTGAGCTAAACCCCAACCCCTCCTTTTCTGTTATCTTTTTGAAGCTAAGTTTTCATATTTAGAAATATCATTTGTCCAAAATGGACGAGGAAAGTGACCTTACACAGGAAAGACTTTGCACAATTTCTGGAAATTTTTCTCACAAAACATATAGGGAACTATGTCCATGTGAACTCTACATTTATAAAATAAAACTATTTTGAACTCACCTCCCCTCTGCGAAGAATAAACCCAGATCCTGGTGCTCGGGAGCCCAGGGGCTCTCCCCGGCCACCCAGCTGGTCGCACCTCGGCTGTGGTCACCCGCAGTGGGCTCGGCAGGCATCTGCCCTCCAGGGTCTGCGTGAGTCAGGGCCAGGGCCTGGTGCAGACCCACGTCCAGCACGGCAGCGGCCAGTCCGCGGTCCTTACTCCCCGGGTGCATTCCCACTGCTGAAAGGAAAAGCAGCCTGAGAAGTCACCTACGCCTTGAGGAATCCACGTTGCCTGCGGCCAAACCCTCTCAGGGCCCGCCTTGCTAATTAACAGAGGAGGAGCTGAGTGTGTCCTCCCCAGGGTGCACATTTCAGCGCCCCACACTGCAGTGACTCATAGCGCAGCTTAAGAACCGTCTGATGGGGGCTGGGGATTTAGCTCAGTGGCATAAGCACCTGCCTTGCAAGCAGGCGGTCGTGAGTTCAATCCCTGGTACCGATAAAAAGGAAAAAGACAGAAAAAAAAGAACAGTCTGATGTGCAAAGTACAAACTTCACGACCATAAAAATGCCCGAGAGGATGTTGATTGACGCAGGGAAACGTTCATGACATGGAACGCACAGTTGAATACATTGAAGCTTTGTGAAAATTACTACAGATGTTTTTACTAAAATAAAAACATCAAGTTATGTACAAGGAACAGAAGACGAGAAACACACACCCTTCACAGCCTTCGCACCTCACAGAAAGGTACAGATGGCGGGCTTTCCCTCCTCTCTAAGTTATGGTTCTCCTTTTTTTTTTAATCTAGCAAACTTGTTTGTAATGAGAAAATAATACCAATTATAAAAGTGAGAAAAATTATTGCCCTTGAAAGATTATGGTGTCCTGCTTTTGCATCGTATTTCAAACCATTCACTATTTGCTTTAACATCTCCCCTCAGCCCACAGCTCCAGCACTGACCGGGCACTGGATGCTCGGAGACCGGGTTGCCCAAGCTCCATGTGCACATTGGCGGGGTGAGTGTACAGCACTGAGAGGCGTGTCCCGAGCCCGCGTGCCCGCCTGCCACACTCACACTCAGCGTGTGCCGTGCCAGGGTGGGCGGCAGTTCAGCAAGACTTGAAGTAAGTACACAGTGGTGTGCTGTGCCTGGAGCTAAGCACGTGGTGCCATCGCTTGAACCTGGGACGTCCCCAAGGGCCACGCGCTGGGCCTGGCCCCAGCCTATGGTGTGTGAGAAGTGGCAGAACCCTCAGGCTGCGAGGCCTGGCAGGCGGGCTGCCTCGGGCGGGTCCTTGGACAGCGTAGAAGAGCCTGGCCTCTTCCTCGCTCGCTCTCCTTCCCTTCCTTCCCAGCCATGAAAGGAGCAGGTTCTGCTCTGCCACGTGCTCCCACCACATGGGCCCCAGCGCCACGCGATCATGGCTGGACCCTCTGGAACCATGCAAACCTTTTCTCTTCATAAATACCTCACGGACTTGCCATGGTGGCAGAACACTGATGGCCATGGATTAAAAACTGGAGGGCAATTAACGCCAGCTGAATTAGATCAACGTGGTGCTGAGCACGGAGGGCCCACCTGAGGAAAGCTGCCCACATAAATAGAGACATGGAGAGGAAGAGATGGGCATGTGGTTCTCCTAAGTGTCATTCTTAGGAGTCATTGGTTCTTCGAGAGGAGCTTGTCATGCTGGCTTCCCTGATATGAACTTGGCTGTTATCTATCGTCAGAGGAGCTTGGGACCTTGTCACTGAGGTGGCTGTGGTTCACTTTGGGGGAGCTCTGGTCCTTACATTGAGCATCGTTTCCTGGCTCCAGAGGGGAAGACGTGCTGTTTAATCTCCAGGACAAACTCATCAAGCTGGTTTTCTGGCACGTACTCAACTGTTCTTATCACCAGAGGAGCTCAGGACCTCCGTGTCACTGAGGACAGCTGTGGTGCTTTTCAGGGCAGCCCTGGTCTTTGCTGTGAGTGCGACTTCACAGTGCCAACGTAGAATCCTCAACCTACCAACACAGCTCCTTCACCCCGTTGGCACAGACTTTCTAGCTTCCACCGCTGACCTTTGGACCTTCCCAGAGCGGATCCGTAAAAGAGACTGGTGTGAGTCCTTCTCATGGGCTCTAGACCTCCAGTTGGTCTCGTGGGAGGAACTGTCGTAGGCTCTAGGCCTTCGTCTGGACTCATGCAGGACACTGCTGTGGGATCCAGGCCCTTGGCTGAACATTCTGGGTCTTTAGTGTCGTGGACAGATTTCCTGCACTTTCTTGTGTTTTACTCTGGGTGACCATCATAAAACAATATTACAAATTCTGTGTCCCGTATGTAATTGTTCTCCTTGCAACCACACTGACTACAACACTGACTAACACAGCCAAGGCACCGACAGCTGGGAGACCATGCTTCTTAATGGAGTCAGAACAGATTCCAAACACAGAAAGATACTGTGATCACTGAGTGAAACCCAGTGATCAAAGACATCCACGAATCCCTCTCGCAGCAGATGTTTCTTTACATTACAAGATGTCAACAACCTCAGCACAGAACAACAATGAAACATGAAAAGACAGGGCACCAAAATGCCTCCCAGAACTGTCAACTCGAGTGAAGCCATTCCAGGGGGGATCGGGGAGAATAAGCTGCATGCAAGATTATTTAAAAGGCTAAGGGAGGAGAGCAGAAATCAGATCCAAGAACTACTCGCTCGGCAGGGTCAGGAAAGACGTAACTGAACAGGTAACAGGAGCGATCACGAAAAAGATGCAGGAACTTTCAGACAACACTACTAAAAAGCTAGCTGAGCTAAATAAAACGAATGGCCAGTTTGCCAAAGACTCAGAGCCCATGACAGGGTTTCAACCAGAAATCCCAGGGGGTAATAAAAATTATACTGAACCCAAGGACAGCCGCAGAGTGAGGACAGAATCTGAGAACTAGGAGATGACAGTTTCGAAGACCAGCTACTCAGACACCTGAAAAGCAACAAGGGAACATGGAAAATGGATCCAACAACTACTAGAAGGCACAGAAAAGACTAATCTAAGAGTACTTGGAATAAGTGAAAAATCAGAAAACAACATAAATGGCATAAATTCTGTTCATAGAAAGAATAGCAGAAAACTTCCTAAAATAGGGAAAGAAATAGACAGACAGAGAAGTGAGGCATATCGATCCCAGTAGCTATGAGAGGCAAGAAGCAAGGAGCAACCTCTCTGCACCACATTGTACGCAAGGAACCAGCAGTTCAAAACAGCAACAGAGTTTTAAAAGCTGCTCTAGAGAAGGCAACAAATCCCATGCAGAGGTACATGCATTAGAATACAGCAAACCTTAACAGCCAGGAGGGCTTGGAGGGAAGCGTTTCAAGCCCTAAAAGATAACTTCTAACCTCAATCTAGCTGTCTGGAGAAACTGTCCTTCAAAATTGACAGAGAAATAAAGTATCTCCATGACAAGGAGCACCCCAAGAAATTCATGACCAGACCAGCATTACAAAACAGTCTTAAAGACACCCTAGAAAAAGAAAACCAACAATGGCAAAAAGTCAGAAAAAATGAATATACCCGGCAGAGGAGCAGCTAAGCAAGAGGGGGAACGAGAAACAACAGGAAATCCACCTCAACACCGACAGGAGCACGTCGGTGTGTTTCAGAACCACTCTCAGTGTGAGCCCCTGGCTGAAGGCACACACCGGCAGAACAGATCAAAAACAGCATGCACTGTAGGGAACACTTCTGATTCAAAGAGTTTCACAGGCGAAAAATCAAAGGACGGGAAGCAATGTGCCATAGAACGGGAACCCAGGGAAAAGCAGGCCACTGTCCTCACGCAGAGTGATCAGAAGAGTCAGAGAAAGTCAGCACATGGTTTAAGGGAAATATTCAACAGGAAGCAATAAAGACTATAAACAACATATGTACCAACCGTCAGTGTATCCAACTTCATAAAACAAACACTAATAAACACAAAAAATCAGGCCAGGGATACAGCTCAGTAGCATAAGCATCTGCCTGGCAAACGCAAGAACCTGAGTTGGATTCCCAATACCAAAATAATAATAATAATAATACAATAAAATAAATATGAAAAATCAAATAAATGAAAACAACTGAGGGCTGGGAAAATGGCAGATTAATAAGCAGCAAAATAAAGAGCCTCTGAGAGCAACAGCTCCGATGCTGGAATAAAACATCCTGGAGAAGACCAGATGGAAGGAGATGGACCCTTTTGACCCAGGAAGAAACTAAAGAGAAAAAAAAAAAGAAAAGAAAATCCTGGGCAGAAGGCTGTAGCAGACGCACTGTCACTGGAGCCGGTCCATTGTGTATGAAACGACGCACGGTCACGGTGAAGTTGGGGGTTGGCGAGCCCTCAGCGGGCAGACGTGGTCATAGAGGGCAGCAGCAGAGCGGAGAACAGCACCAGCTCAGACATCGGCACCGGCTGTGGTGAGTGCAGGGAACTCGGGCCTCTTGCGGGGGTGGGCAATTGGTTGGGCGACATTTTGGAGTCAGGCAGGATAAGCCTGGAACCAGAACTGAAGTGGCTTCAGTCAGCCACTCCAGACTCGGAGCGCCATCCAATAGCCAAGGCCAAAGTTCCCCTGAAGCTATCCCTAACCAGCTGCATCGTGTGGCACACACTAATGTGGCAAAGACTCCCAGTGGTTGACCAGCCCAGAAGGGACCGGCCATCCTGCCCCACCCCTGCTTGTACTCCAGCGGTCACCAGCAGACTGGGAGGGCAGCAATCCTTATCAGCACTTCAGCGTAATCATGGCCAATACAGGAAGTGCCAGGAACCCCACTATCCACTTGTCTGGAAGAAACCAGGAACATGACAAGAGGAAGAAACAAAAGGCAGTCTCCAGCCTCCAGTCCAAACAGTACTGGTTCAGGAGAGGTAAACACAGAAGAGATTAGGAGTTGCACACTTGCAGTGCTGGAAAAAGCAGCATTTGGCATAAGGAATTATCTTCATGACATTATAAAAGGATTCAAAACAGAAATTCTAATACAAGTAAAGGAATATATAAGAAAAATAATAAAAGAAATGTTAAGCACCTTTCAGGAAAACACAGATGGAAGAATGGAGGGGCATAGAAAAAGGAGAGAAACCTTTGATGAAGAATATTTTAAAAATCTAGAATACATGAGACAGATTCAAAGAGATCACCAGGAAATTAAAAACTCCATTGAAAGCTGGCAAAACTGCTTTAAAAAAAAAACTAA